TAAGTATTGTGAACAACTTCGATGAAAACATATAGAGAAACACTTTTGCATGTTGAGATGTGCAGTGTATGTGTGTGTGCTGGCACTCACCGGTTGTTTCACGGGCAAGCGCGACGCGTCATGCAACTGAAGGAAGCAGAGCTTGAAGGTAAACAAACAACAGCTTATCATAAGCATCTTGTTGATAATTATTTATACAGTTGGCATTAAGAAAGAACATATAAATGTTATCTGACTAAAATCTAGCAGCTAAATGTGTCTGGAAAAATATAAAAAAGCTTTAATTTTTAAAAACAGTGCGGGTGTGAATGCGTCTGAGTGTTCTGATTGGCTGGAGTAGAGGTCTAATGTCAGTGCAATCTAGACGTGAACGCGCTCACACTGCGCAACATTCTGGCAATTTACCGGTGATGTTACAACTTCTCTTTCCGGAAAATTGCTGGAGCGAATTTACCAGTATTTTCAAAAAGGTCTTGTTCACACATACAGACTTTTCCTGAAAATTACCGATAATTTTCCAGAAAGGTCTGTATGTGTGAAAGGGGCTTATGTCTCTCAGCTGGCCTGGGAACACCTCTAAATCCCCCGGAGGAGCTGAAGGAAGTGTCTGGGGAGAGGGAAGTCTGGGGTTTTCTCCTAAGCCTGCAACCCTTGCGACCCGGCCCCGGAAAAGCGGACAAAAATCAGATGAGATAAAATTACTCGGATCGGAATGTGAAGAAACTTTTAAGCAGCACTTCTGTTTCTGAAGACAATTACCTACAGCACCTTTAATATTTACGGCCTGTATAACCCAGAATGCAGTGTTTTCATTTTGTATTATCCACAGGAGCCTTTACAAGGCATTGCAAGCAATATATTCAGCATTGTCATATTAGGATTTAAATATACAGTTCTCCATCGCAGCAGTCAGCAGGGGAATTGTATTGGGCAGGTATCTGGAGCAGGTGTGCTTTGCTTAGTCTGTTCTGTGTGTCTTTTCCCCTCTCCTTTTGGCACAGGAAGCTCAGTTTCTGTTCTGTCAGTTCTGTTTTGTTCCCCACAGGCCCGTTTGAAAGATAATCATTCAGATTTAAAGGATTATAGATGCTTAAAGTCCTGACCTGACTCAGTCTCCCTTTATTTAGCAATACCCTTTTCATTTGAAAATCCGACTCTCTCGCTGCTCATATCTCACAGCCAAGCGCGCTTCTTGGACTGAGCAATTTCGAATTGATTTTCCATTGCTTACCTTAATATCATTAAAGATGAGTCTCATTTTCTCTCAGCAGAGCAAATACACCCACAGAGACCCACACGGAGGCGCGCATTAACACTGCCGTCTGTGACAGAGTTTCACCATCGTAATTCTCCCTCTGCACACCCTTAATGTAATTGTGTCTTTAATTCACAGCACAGTTTCATTTAAAAATGTTTTCACTTTTGTAATCATTAACTCGCTCTTGCATTTCAGGGTTCGCTTTTTTGCAGTGTGTCTTGGCTCGGCATTCACTGTGAGGCGTAATGTTACCCTGGCTTGTGCATTTAGCTTTTTCCAATCTATGCTCAAGTCACCATTACTTTGAAAGTTCTTTTTAAAATACAAACAATACCAGGATAGTGTCAAATATATTTATAAAAAAAAGAAAAATGACAGAATTAGTTATAGAAACTTAACTATTCTATAACCGTAAAGCTGTTACTATTTTAATGATGTGAATTTCATATTTCACAAACGCAGCTAAGCTGTTTGCTTTAGCTTTAGTAATTTTGGTGTTGATTTAGCTTAAAGGGAGATGTCTGATGAAATGTTGCTTAAATGTGAGAAATTTTCTCGGAAACAAATAAACATAAACACTTTCTTGCATCAGTTAATGCATGTATTATGGTAGTTCAGAGTGGGACTATATGGTTAATGTTTTACTATAGTTCAAAATACAACCCTAATCTAAATATATTGTTAAAGGAGGATGAAGATCTGATTTATTTTAACTCTTTTGCAGTATATTAGTGTTGCACTGTAGGTTGGCTACAGAACAAGTTTAAAAGAAAAAAGCATACATGTGGAGACATCGTGTACACATCTGCAACCAAAAAACATAAGGCAGTGCAGCATATATGTGAAATTGGTCTCAGATGCAGTTTGTTTCAACCCAGGAGCATGAATAGTATGTCTGTCTGTCTGTGGGGATGTTTTTGCAAAAAATAAATTATATTGCAGTAGTTTACAGCTAAAATGTCCAGTGAGTGGCTCTACAAGCATTTTATTTTTCCCATGAAACTAATAAACAAAAGCAAAATGCTATTACTCCACTTCCACCATACCCTGATCGTGGTAAAAAAAAAAAAAAAAAGATAAAGTGTAATTTAAAGGTAAATAAAACAGGTCAATTAAAAAGAAAATAAATGTTCCTAGTTTTTAATCAGCTTTGAACCCATTTTTTTCAAACAGTTTTTGTTGAACAGGATTAATACACCTATTTTTTTCTGTTTGTTCAAACTACTTATTTAAAATGAGTTGAATCAACACTAAATTGATCTATGTTCAATCCACTTAAAAAAATAAGTTAACTTAATCATTTTGTGTTGGGACAACATGAAAGAATTGTGTGGAACCCAGATTTTTTTAAAGGGTATTCAAGCACTCAACATCACATCTATAATGGTGTACCAGGTGAGCTACAGAGCAAGTTTACTATGCTGAAAAAGCCATACATGGACAGGTCAGACATAATGGAAATAAGTACCTCAGTCTACATTTTTGCAAAACTTAAAATGCTCCATGGTACATAATTTTGCACCTTTCAGATGGCAAATCCGCTAGAGCAGTGTTTCACAACCACATTTCTGGAGGACCACCAACACTACATGTTTTGGATGTCTCCTTTGTCTGTTACACCCATTATAGGTCTTTTAGTTTCTCCTCATGAGCTGATGAGTTGAATTGGTGAGCAAACGGACTACCCTAAACAAGTTGTATGGAGATAGATGAGACAAATGCATCTGATTACAAATCATCAAGTTGTTTTATAGCATTTTTTTGGTGTTGTGCAAAGAACTGCATAAAACATTCCTTTATTTGTCGATAACTTGTCCCTGTCCCTGTATATCATTTAGGTGAAAAGGAATAAATTTTGATAGCATCAAACTGCCCACGTAGCCTTCATTTTACTAACAAACTGCAGTAAAGCATATGTTGAAGTTTTTGTGGTTTCACAAAAATATCGGCTAAAGCACGAAATTCCAATGAGCTTGTTTTACATATAGAGGTAGATGTGACAGTATGTGATGCAAACAGTAAAATATATTATAGTAAAATAAAAGGATTCCTTTAGGTTTTTGAAAGAATTGTCTCAGATACAGATGACAACTTATCAAAACTAACCTCATTTACATAAATGTATAGCAAAACAACTTAAATCTCAGCATTATGCATGCTAGGCAACTAGCTGGCAACAAATCACTCAAACAGTGTTGATTTTTAAAAACTTTTTTCAAAAAAAGGTTTTCCAAAGCAATCTCACAGCAATTTGTAACTTTTTGATTTAGTGGCAAATTCATATGAATTTGTATGATCTAATTTGTACAATTTTGTCTGATTTGCTCATCACTCAATGACCGTTGGGTTTAGGGGTGGGGTTTGATGCCACGCCTCCTTTTTAGGATCGTACATTTTTATACTACTGAACTTGTACGAATTCTTACGAATTAGCCCCTAAACTGACAAAACTTAAAATACTTACGTTTCCTCGTTAGATCAGGCTAATTATTGTGTAAATAAATAACCCAAAATATTGTATACACCTTCTCAGTTTACAATTCAAAGTGTTTTGAGGTCATTGAACATAATTACTGTGGAAAAGAATAAATATTGCTATCGTTTTACTGCCTCTAGTGTTAATTTCATCTGAAAAGTGCAGCTAAATAAGTGTATTGGCACTTTTTTTTTTTTTTTGGTGGTGGAAACATGTTTTTTCCAAAGAGCCAGGGTTCTGGGCAGTAACTGTGCGAAGAGCGTAATCCACCACCTCAAACATCGCCTGCATAATTTAATGTTTAGTCGGCACGACAACGGTACTAAAATTAGGCTTATGACAGGAAGAATACATTATAGAGCAGCCTGGTTGGAAAGCAGCCTGGGGAATGCTTTTAAAAAATCACCCAGATCCTCTATAGGAATATGTGCATTATTCTTTAATAATTCCCATAATCCTGCCCCCTGACTCATACCTAAGATCTTTAATCTGTTCCCACCTGGTCTTGGTTTTTGCAGGAACCACAAGGGTTTGGTACAGTTCTATCCTACAAAATTCTCATGCAATATTGGAATTAGAAAGCATTATGTGTGGTAAATGTGTGGTAAAAGCAGGGCTGTTTATTTAGAGCACCAACCCTCTGAGGGAATATGGTTTAACTGGCTTTTAATTTAAGTGTCTGCTATTTGTTAAACTCCATTTAAAGCTACTTGGAAACTTTTCATGCGTTAAGCTTCTCATAGCGTAATCACATTTAAATTGAGATGTCTTTTTAAAAATGTCTTAGAACACAAGAAATCATTGGGGAACTCAATTAGGATGACATAAACATACACAAATAATTCTCAAATAAAATTATACATCACAAATAGTCATAAATAGGGATAAATAACAGCATTTAACTAAATAATTTGCTACAAAACAGAATAATAAATGCCTTTCAGGGACCTGTGCGCCAAGCCTTGAATCAGTGAATTGTAAGAGAGAAGCATTTAGGAGAACTCTTTTGATTATACAGTTCACTGTGCTAACAATGTGATATAACAACATTTTAACAGGTTGCACTGCTGCTATTTGGAAAAGGTAGCTCATTACTGTGAAAGCTGCATTGTTTTGGAAACAGTCGAGCTGCTGGAAAGTGCAGTTAAGCTAAGCAAAGATACCTTTAGTTAGTACTGATTTGCAGAGACTGTAGTCATTAGACCATTTTAAATGAGTCTCTTTGTCATTCTCAGTCTTTTTTTTTTTTTTTTTTCCTCTGTGCAGGACTGAAGATCCGCGAGGTGATGATAAATGTGTCTAGACAGCAGGTGGAGGATTTCCATGGACCGGAGGACTACTGGTGTCTGTGTGTGGCCTGGAGTCATCTGGGCACCGCCAAGAGTCGCAAAGCCACCGTTCGCATTGCTTGTCAGTATAATATAAGTTTATTTTTGTATTTATTTATTTAATTTTTTTGCTAAATCACTTTAGAATTCAACCATTTTTTTTTAAGTTTGATTGAAACTGCTGCATCACATGGACCTCACAGAAGTACTGAGATTTTCCAAATAGGTTTTTGAAACACATGCACCTTTTATTATTGCTAAAAGGCTCAGATAGTAGTGTTAGTTTTATATATTTTTTATCCTGCTATAATATTTAATAATACTTTTGTTTTGGTTTTCACTTTTCATTTTGGTTTTAGCACTTTTTATGTGCTTCTTTGAAAATTTTAAATAATTTTCTATAATAGTTTACTGTTATTGTTTTTCCTCAGTTTTATTTTTAGTATTTTAGTACTTCCAGTGTGCTTTCAACTGTTCCACTGTTTAGCCTTTCTATGTGTAATTTTATATATAATTTTATTAGGATTTATATAAACAATAATGTTTTCTCCTTTTTTTTGGGGGGGGGGGGGGGGGGTATGAGATGTATATGCCATATGAAATCTGAATAAATATGCTTTTCATTGATGTACGTTTTGTTAGGATGAGATAATATTTGTCTGAGATGCAACTATTTGAAAATCTATAATCTGAGGGTTTAATTATTGGATATTTAAGATGTATACACTATATGAAAACTGAATAAATATGCTTTCAAATGATGTACATTTTGTTAAGATGAGAAAATAATTGGCCAAGATGCAACTATTTAAAAAAATCTGTAATTAGAGGGTTTTCTTTTTTAGATTTTTGAGATGTTTACAACATGAAATCTGAATAAATATGATTTTCATTGATGAATATTTTGTTGGGATAAGATAATATTTGTGATGCAACTATTTGAAAATCTGAATAAATATGCTGTAAATTGATGTACATTTTGTTAAGATAAGATAATATTTGGCCGAAAATACAACTATTTGAACATCTATAATTTGACGGTCACATATTTGGATTTCTGAAATGTATAAACCATATGAAAACTGAATGAATATGCTTTTCATTGATGTACATTTTGTTAAGATAAGATAATAATTGGTCAAGATGCAACTGTTTGAAATCTGTAACCTGTAATCTGAGGTTTTCATGTAAATGCCATTTGAATACTGAATATATGTTTTTAATTGATGTACATTTTCTTAAGATAAAATTTGGCCAAGATGCAGCTATTTAAATATTTGTTATCTGAGAGTTACTTTTTTGGATTTTTGAAATATACAAAATATGAAATTGGAATAAATATGCTTTAAATTGATGTACATTTTGTTAAGATAAGAAAATATTTGGTTGAGATGCAGCTATTTGAAAATCTGTGATCTGAGCGTCACATTTTGGGATTTTTGAGACATATACACCATATGAAAACTGAATAAATGTGGTTTTTATTGCTTGATAGTTTGGAAAATCAAAAAATCTAATTATTGAGAAAAACTTTTATGTCCAAATTAAGTTATTAGCAATTACTAATTAAAAATATGCTTAAATTGCCAAAAATATATCTGTGTGACATATATTTGTGGTCCATGCTCACATGTATTGCTTTAAATTAAGGCCTGGATAGAACCACCCAAAATTGATGCCATTGCTTTAATGTGATTAGCTCCTTCAGGACAAGAATTGATCAATGAGTCAATCAATGCGTAAGACAGCAGCATATGCTACCTGTGCTTTTTTTATTTTCTCATATAGACCTGAGGAAGAATTTCGAGCAGGAACCGCAGGGAATGGAGGTGCCAATCAATGGCATGATCGTCCTCCACTGCCGTCCACCTGAGGGAGTGCCTGCAGCTGAGGTTAGTGCTTACAGCGCCATCTACATGTCTGGATGTGTAATTGTTATATATTGCAGAATATAAAACAGCAAATCAATCAGTCACTGTTGACATTTGGAGCACTGTTTGTGGGTTTTTTTTTCTCTCCTTCTAGGCATTTGATGAGCATGCCTTTTTTTTTTATTAGGGATGAGTGGAGTTGTTTTTATGAGAGAGTACCGGTGTGTGCATTATCATTATGGTACTCAGGGTTCTGGAACAGTGATATATTCAGAAGTGCATTTGCATGCTCAGCACAGGATCTGCTGTGCATTTACATGTTTATTTTATTTTTTCCCACCTTCTCATTGCAATATCTCGGAGAATGTTTTATGCCTGCCTTAAGAACTTAAGAACTTCATTCTTTTGGTGTATCTTCCTTATACACCCTGAATAGTATGTGCTTTTTTGGAACAGGATTTGCACCCTGCTGCCCAGTTCCAGCATATGATAAAAGATTTAGCTCAAATGGACAGTTTGTGTTACTGTAGGCCCTCGTCTTCCACTTCTTGGGTCACTTGAAAGGCCTTTTCTTTTATATGCATGAATACCAGTATGGAGAAGAACACAGACTTTGAATAATGCAGAGCAAATCCCATCACTAGCCCTCTGAACTGCTGTCCACTGTCCCAAAACTCTCTCGGGAACAGGGTTACTGTCCATCTGTCTGTTAGTCTGTCTATCATAACTGGATTAGACATGCATGACCTGGAGGATTTATTTTTGCTTCCAATAAAACGCCGGGTAAGACTTTAATTAAAGCGGTGTCCATAAGACACACAACTTGAATATGAACGAGATTTTATGAATGCTTTTGTCTGTCATTTAGTTTTGTCTGTCATTTTGTTAACTGTCATTTAGTGTCATTAGCTCTTTTATGTCAGTTTAAATGCAAGGATGGCATTGTTAGAGATGTCTTTGTAATGACAACTTGACATAAGCAAATAGATCACAACCTGTCTTTGACTTTGTCATGACAACTAGACCAAAAAAATAAAAAACTGTCAGTGTCTTGTCATAACTTGTCATAAATTTGTCATGAACATGATTGCTATGAGGCCATTAAATTTGTGTCATGAATATTTTTCTAATCATTTTTTTTCCAGTAGGACATTTTAATGATTCATTAAAATGTCTCATTAAAAGTGTCAATAGTGTCAACTAATTGTAGAAATTAATTTATCGTTTAATGACATTCATTCATTTATTAAATGTTTTCTTCAGCTTAGTCTCTTTTTCAGAGGTCGCCACTGCGAAATGAACCGCCAATAATTCCGGCATATCTCATATGCTGGAGATGCCATTCACACACATACACTACAGCCAAATTGGTTTCTTTAGTTCACCTATTAAGCGTGTTTTTGAAGGAAACACATGTGAACACAGTGGAAAACAGTCAAACTCTACACAGACGTGGTCTAGTCGGGACTCGAACCACCGACCTTCTTGCTGTGAGGCGACAGTGCTAACCACTGAGCCACCATGCCACTAAATTTAATGACATTTTAATGACAAATTAAATTTGTACCTCTGTAGTTCAGGTCAAGAAAATGCCATTTTCTGTTGTTCTAGTACCGTCAAGTTGTCATGACAAAGACAGGTAATGATGTATTTGTTAATATCAAGTTATGTAATATTATTATTATTATTATTATTATCATCATAATTTTTTTATCATTATTATCATTACTACTATATTTACTCTGCACTGTAAAAAGTGATAAGTTACTAAAAGCGAGTAAACAAATAGCCTTAAAACTGAGTTGACTTTACAAAAATAAAGTAAACCCATTTTAACTTGGAACTGTTAAGTTCCAATTTTAAAAATTATGCTAATTGTACTTACTTTTTAACTATTCCCTTTTTACAGTGTCAGACTATTTTAGCATGTCTGTTTTCAAATAATTACTGTAATTATCACAATATCACAGATTTGGTGCTTCATTAGATCGATACAATCTACAATTATAACTTGAATTGAATTTAGAAGACACACTGGAGACTGGAACAGACTTCATTTTGCTAGATACAGAAAATCTGGGGAAAAATATATGATAAAAATGTATTGGGAAAAATGTGATTAGTTTACTTTTATTTTAAAAAAGTGACTTTGGGTTTATTTACATTATTTTTGCAAAGTCAACTTGTTGCTTTTTTATTGGTTTACTCACTTTAAGTAACTAATCACTTTTAACAGTGTGGTAAATTTGAGAAGTTAAAAAAGTTAAAATCTATATTTTTTTTGTAGATTTAGCTCTATGTACAGTCCTGTTGTGAACAGTGAAATCTCTGTTCTTGTTGTAAGTTTAGAATCTTCATTCAAGTTTTAGTTCTCAGCACGAAGAGATACAGAATTCCGCGAGTGTCAAAGAAATGTTCTGAAAACTGCTTTCAGGTTTATCTCAGCGACTCCAAGTGTATAATATCGAACCTCCTACAGAGTTTTGTGACAAGCTTAGGAGGATATCCATGTGCTTAGTGGAAATCAAACTGGCAATTGCTTCTCATAAACCCAGTGTCATATTATTATCATCCTCCACATTCTAGTGAGATGATAAGTGATACCGCTGCGTCTGCGTCTCTGAGGAGGCTGACAGATTCCTTGTTTTTTGCTTTTATTTTTGTTTTTAAGTCACTCTTTTTCTTTGTTGTAGTTTCAGAACAAGCAATACTTAAACTAGGCCACCGTGAGCACATTTCAACATCAGCTATAACAAAAAAAATTTAATAAATAAATAATCATATCAACTTTTGCCATCTGTCATGGTGGAAACCTATCCAGAATGGCTGTATGGTGAGCTGCCGTCTGTGATCTGGAGGGAAGCAGCCGTGCACCATCACTACAGCTAATCAATACTCGCTAGAGCCAACATGGTGCTGCTGCTGAAAAGGATAGTCAGGCTTAGGCAATGTTTGAGACAGAGCCAAGATCTGGGTCCAGAGGTCTTTGTGCCAGAAGGGTTTGTCGCTGGAGATTACAGGTTGGCAGCCCAATGCTCCCTCTGTAATCATTGCTGTTCAAAGACTAAAGGTCAAGCCGAAGAACTCTGCCACTGGTAGACATATGAGCCAAGATGGCTCCCCTGTTGTCTGGCTGATACCATCTTTGGACAGGACGCAAGTCTGACTGTGACTGGAAACCGACCAAAGGCTCGGAGAGCATTGGCAGGTCATGGCAGACAGACCACCATGCGCTTCTCATGGGTTAATTATTTTGCGCTTTATTTTGGCATACATTAATTTTACTTCAGCTTAGTGTCTTTATTCATCAGCGGAATGAACCACCAACTAATACAACATATGTTTTACACAGCGGATACCCTTCCAGTTGCAACCCAGTACTACGAAACATTCACACACACTTATTCACACACATATACTACAGCCAATTTAGTTTATTCAATTCACCTGCACTGCATGTGTTTTGACTGTGGGGAAACCTATGCAAACACCAGGAGAACATGCAAACTTTACACTGAAACTCCACCTGAATCAACCGGGTCTCAACGACCTTCTTGCTGTGAGGCGACAGTGCTAACCACTGAGCCACCGTGTTGCCTTCATTTTGGCAGTTAAACATACAAAAAGTGGATTAAATTGCTCGTATTCGATTGTTTCGCTTTGTTTTTCTTGAAAGCGGTTGCGAAAGGTCACAGGCGCGTAACAATTTTGTCATTGTTTATTCTGGCATATGTCATCCTTGTCCTTTGTTTGTTCCCCGCTCGAATGGAAACCTGTTCAGAAAATATCATTTCCCTGGAGCTATAAGATCATCCCTGTTGAATAATGAACGCAACATAATTAAAACAATTACACCAACAAGGAAATGAAAGCGCGATATTAACTGTCAAAGTAAAGTTCATGCAGATTACTCACAGCTAAGATGGGAGAGGGGGGAGAAAAAAACTCTCAATAACTTTGAGAGACCAGACCGATCATTAAGCTCATATTAACTTCACAATCCTCATCCTGCGACGCAATTAATCATTCAGTCTGATGAAGCAAAGTCATTTAAAGTGCTTAAAATGTAATTATTCAGCAATAAACACGGCACGGCCCGCGCTGTCAAGAGCAGGATGAGAAGGAAGGACACGTCCAGCCCGTTTTACTCCTGCATCGGAAATAACGCGGCTGGATTTGGAAAGTTCATTTCTTTAATGTGATTCGCCGAAAATCACTGTAGCGTTTGTAAGGGGCCGCAAGACTTGATTGAAGCAAAGTGATGCAAAGGGACATTAATGAAACTGGAACTTAATTGAGTAGGATGGAACAAACCCGGACGAGACCTCCTTTTGTAATTGCCTTCTTGTCACTTTCACTTTCCGTCTAAGTGAATGTAGCCTAAATCTTGAGGGTGATTTTTTTTTTTTTGCCCAGAATGACAATGTTATGAGGTGTTATACCCGTTTCAGGGCTAATTGGATTGACCTGTAAGGGACGTGCCATATTCAACGTTGGGAATGAGCTTCTTTTTTCTTCTTCTTTTTCTTCTTCTTCTTCTTCTTCTTCTTTTTCTTTTTGGACATAATCAATAGGAAAGTATTTTTTGCTTCTGGAAAGTGCCAAAATAGCAGCGTAATTTACTGTACAACAATTTTTAATGGCGGCAGTTGTCTGAAGCATTTATATTTAAACATTTTACAATTAGTTCAACTAATAATTATTAGTTATATGCAACACAAGTACAATTTCAGTTATTAATGTATTGCTTTTACATTAATAACTAAAAAAAAACATTGTCTTACTGTCATGTAAATGGTTGGAACATTTTAGAGTTTAGAGAAATCAATAACTGAATTTTGTGCTACAAAACTTTACTACGTGCACAGCCTGATAGGTCACCAAATCTGCTCCTTTGTTATGGAGATTAGTTGCTGTCTTCTCTGCAGCCAATGAGCTTTCACTTCATCAGTTTAAATGCTCCACGTCATTGTACGCTGCCAAGCTGCAGTGTATTTCCAAAGACCATCCTTTAACCCAGC